GGCGCCGGGCGTGGGTTCCTCCCAACCTGTCTGCCTGTCACCTCTCCCCTAAAAACGGACAAAATGCAGCTCAAATCAAAACACCCGGTTAATCAAGAATCCAAGGTAGGAACGGGCAGGCTCTGAGGGGAGATGTCGGAGCAGGCAGAAGATTCCAGGCACGGTTTTGTTCTCATGGTTCTGGAACCTGCGGAGGGAGCCTGAGCTCCCGGCCGATGCGGGTACCAGGGCCTCCGGAGCGCAGCAAACCGGAGTGGCATTTGTCCTAGAACGGCGCTTTCTGGGCCTGGCTCACCCAGGTGACGCCCTTGCAGGCCACGGTGTTCCCAGGCCAGCGTGGCCACGGGGGCCGGAGCTGCGGCCCGGCTGACCGACACTGCCTCCGCGAGAGGGGAGCACCGGAGCGCCCACTGGGAAGGCGTGGCCCCTGGCCTCTGCCGCGGAGGCCCCGCCCAATGGCGCTTGGCGGAGGCGGGGGTGGGGGTGCCCCAGGGCGCGCGCCCTCATGGCCATCCGTCATCCCCGCCGCCAGATCATCCTGGGCTGATTAAATTAGCGGATGCAATCATGATCTGAAGCAAGTTAATTGAGAGAATTTATTTGGGCCTGACAGTTTTATGCATGTTTGATTAAGTATTATAAGGTTGGTTTCTGATTTTGCATAATTTAACTTTAAATCCTGCGCTGGGGGGCCCGTCAACCATTAACGACCAAAATAAACCTCTTTTAAGTTGCATCTATTTATAATATATTTCTGAGTGCAGTGTCTTCCAGATTTCTTTCCTTTGCTGCTGTTGTCGAAGTGACAAATACATACGTTAAAAGTAACATTTTGAGCTGTAGCGTTTACCCTTTAAATCTGCAGGGTACACAATGCATTAAAAGTTTTGAAAGAAGTACCGGTTCGCGTTTATATAGCAAGAAGTGACAGATCAATGCGCATGTTTGTCTTCAAAAATGCATACGGGTGGCCAGGTTCCTGGGAGCCAGACAGGTGGCTCACGCCGTGCGGTGACAGCTCAGCCACAGATCTTCCCTCCTGCCGCCACAGCTCGGCTCAGTCACCACTGGGCGGGCTGTGTCTTCGGCGAAACTCGCACTGGGGGAGACAGACGTGGGCTGCGGAGGGGCCAAACCCGGGTGAGCGCTAACCCCAAACACACGCCTTTCGTGGTCCCCTCGTGGCTCGGGTCTGGGTTCTAGGACAGGGCACGTCCATTAAATGGCAGGGCCTGCTGCCCGGGAGGAGGTCAGGGCCACCAAGAAGCTGGGCCGCACGGCCTCCTCCTCGTCACCGAGCAAGGTTGGGGTCCAGGCATTGTCCAGCTCCCAGAGAAGGCTGCCCGCTGCAGAGGGTGAAGCGGCTCCCGTGCCCAGAGCCGCCTCCTGTAGCTTGGGTGCGGGGCGGGGACACACTTCCGAGAGGAGGGCAGATCTGTGAGCGCCAAGCTATAAGCCAGCCGCTCTGGGAGTCCCCAGCATTGCTCACAAGGCCCTCAGACGCGGGTCCGCTTCCCCAGCGCCTGGCGTCCTGCCCTGTGCCCCGCTGCCCGTGCGGGGCACGGGCTGGACCTAACTGGGGTCAGGCCGCGGTGTCACCGGCAATGCCGGGCTGGGGCCTGCCGCTCCCCAAAGGCCAGCCTCCACCTTCGAGGGCCCAGCACAAGCCGGGCACTTCCGTCAGCCCACCTGTCCAGTAGCACCGAGCCCTGCTGTGGGCCGGGCCCAGGGGACGAGACATGTCTGTCCTCAGGAGCTTCCGCTCCAGAAGGGTGGGGTGGGCGCCAGCAGCGGGGCACCCTCCCCCCAGCATGACCTTGCTGGCAGAGAGTGACCAGCTGCAGCCAGCCTTGGAGTCAGTAAGACAGGGAGGAGCCAACAGCTGGGTGGAGGCGGTGGGGGGGAAGCAGCTGGGATGGGAGGCCCCCCTCCCTGTCCCCAACCTCAGAGTCACAGCAAGGGAACGGAGGGCGGCACCCCTCACTAGAAAGGGGTGGGACCAGAGCCAAACCAGGCAGGTGGGTGGTTACAAGAATTTGAAATTACATATTGTTGTGCTCAAACCACTTGGGCATGTCATGGCCATCTCAAATTTAGAATCAGAACATAACCCCCATTTTGTTGTGCTCAGTCCCCGGGGCATGGATCCGGTGGGACAGACAGCGCCTCAGGGCTGTGCCATGGGGTCCCGGGGCTCAGCTGGGAAGACTCAAGTCCACGAGTGACCCAAAGGGCTGGAGTCAAACACCTCTGGAGGCTCCTGCTCTCCGGGTCAGGCTCCGGCGCCAGGCGCCCGAAGGCTGCTTTCAGCTGGGCCCAGACCCGGGGCTCCCCACCACGGCCCCCCGCCCACCCTCCTGTACGCTCAACGTGTCCCCAACGCAACCCCCAAATGCCCCCACATGCCCTCCACTTGGTCCCCATGTGCCCACCAGTGCCCCTACATGGCCTCTTGCTTGTGCCCTCAACACGACCCCCATGTGTGCTCCCTAACTTCCTGCCATGTGACAACCCCCCACTGACTGCCGAGGGTACCCCCTCCCCATGCCCTTCAGGTGGCACCCCCACATGCCCTCTCCATCGTGCCCCCCACGCCCCCTCTCAGCACGGAGGCTGCGTGCTGTGAAGGAGCATCCAGGAGGCCAAGGCGGACGCTGCACGGCTGCCTGTGACCACCTGGGAGATTACGGAGGTCCCTGGGGCCTCAGGATCTGGTCACTAAGGCAGCCCGAAGCCAAGGGGAGAAACGTTTCCAGACAGCGAGGTCACTGCAGGGCCATCCACGAGGTAGCATCTCTGTGTCAGCAAGTGGAGAGAAGCGTGGTGGGGGTGCCGGGCTCCACAAGGATAAATGCCCCTTTAAGGCCTGTCAGCAAACCTCCCCGAAAGGCCAGAGAGTAGAGGGTTCCGGATCTGCAGGCCACTGCGTGTCTTGGGGCACCTCAGCTCAGCCATGGCAGCTCTAAAGCAGCCACAGCAACCGGGGAGTGGTTCACCCCTGTACTCACAGCCCGGCTCAGGTCCTCCTGGGGGACCCGGCTGCAGGCTCTGCCGCACTGCGCGCGCTGTCCCAGCAGGTGGCGCTGGGCCGCTGCCAGCAGCTCTGCAGCTCAGGGGGAGGCCCCGCTGACCTGGGACTGACTTCGGGGAGGGGACCCCCAGGAGGATGGAGAGCAGATGGGAACCTCCGCACCAGGGCAAGCCTGTGACCAGGCACAGCCTGTGTCCGGGGGCTGCCACGGAGCTGGCCTGAGGACACAACCCTGTCCTCAGGTCCTCATATCGCCTGCCGGACGGTGGTCCGGCCGCACAGGGGCAGAGTGTGTGGTCAGAAGTGTTGTGAAGTTTCCAGAGCTGTTTAAACACGTGCACAGGTGGACTGGACGGCAAAGTAGAAATACATCTGCTCGGGGCAAGACAACGGAGCTGGTGGGAGGGACGCGCCCACCAAGGAGTGCTGGCGGCTTTGGGGCGGAGGGAGGGCAGGGCAAAATCAGAGCCCTCCGCGGCAGGGGCGGCAGGGCCAGGGAAGGGGTGGCGGCCGGCTGGAGGCCACCCCCCAGGGAAGGGGGCATTTGACCCAGGTTTTGACAGTTGAGTAGGAGCTCAGCAGGTGGAGGAGGCACAGAGGGCAGTACAAACAAGTACGCCGGGGCAAGTCATGGGCAGGGACAGCGATTTTCAACTGTTTTCATTTCATGGCACACATAAAGCAATTTCTGAAATGCTGCAGCACGCCAAAAAATGTACTTTCGCAGATCTGACCAAAAATAGGTGAAATTTCGATTCATTCACACCGGACTGCTATTGCTGGGTTGGCTGTCGTCTTTTTTGGGAGGGGGGGGGGCGGGGGGCAGGGGACAATGTAAGGGAAAAGAAGTCAGTGCCCCTGACTAAATTGTCAGGTGTTGCATGTTTTAAAAATGCTTGCGGCACAGCGGTTGAAAATCGCTGGGCTGGAACAACGGGGCCTCCTTCCCAGGGGACTGCCTGTGGTGTCTCAAGGGGCGGGCCAGAAAAGCCACCACTGCCGAGGTGGGCACAGAGACCCAGCCTGCAGAGATGATGCCTTTTAAGAAACACTTCTTAAAAGATTCCCCTTCTCTTTCATCCTGTCCCGTTGCTGCTTCACAGACGCTCTGGACACTTCAAAACTGTCCGGGCTTCAGGCCTTCGTCCCTCCCCTCTCCATCTGACCCCGCCAGACCCTCCTCACCAGCAGGGCGGGAGTTGAAGGGCCAGGACCACACGGTCCTTCCCACAGAGCAGGGGCTGGGTGTGAGTGGGCTGGGGTCAGGGCTCAACCAAGTGACCCTCAGGGCCTTAGCCTTTGCGGGTGGGGACAGACAGCCGCTTGCACTTGTGTGGAACTTGCACTATCTCGAACTTGATAGAACTCATCCGAATGGACCTTGCAAGCTACATACAAGGGGAAGCGTCTCTCTATCCTGACATCTCCGTGGGATTAAAATACTTAAAAGCCGTCCGCATAAAATCCTCATTTTTCTGAGAAAGGGCAACCCGAGAACATGTGTCAACCAGCCCGCCCCGACTTCCTATAGCTGGACACACGCGCCCGCGGACGCTTTCCGCCAGCCGCCCCTCCAGGCCACGCCGGGCTTCAGCCGGCTGCCCCATCCCAACGCGCCCTGCAGCAGCACTCAGACTAGCAGACGAGTAGAGAAGCGATCGCCGAATCGCCCTCCCTAAGTGCCGGCGACGCAGCGACACTCCCTGCCCTGCCCTGCCCACCCGGGCGCGCGCGCGCCGGCGCACAGCCAACCGCTAAGATAGCAGCGGCGCGTGCGCGGGAGAGTTGCCTGGAGGCCGCACGCGCAGACCCACTATCTGCGCCCGCGCAGAACTGGTCAAGCCGCCAGGGGCGTACGCGGGGCGGGGACGCCGACGATAACGTCATAGGGCGCGCGCCCGCCCAGGAGAAGCGTCGAGTTCCGGGTGTTCAGAGTCGACCCCGAACTGGGGGGAAGGGAGGTGCTGTCGGTGTCGGAGTGGGCGGAGGGGCGTGAGGACAGCCCTACGGTGGCCGCGGAGGGACGGCGCTACGGCTCCCACGCTGGGCCAAACGCCACCGGCCGCCGGGCGCCGGAGCCCCTGGCCCTTCGGGGCAGGTGGAGACGCGTGAGGCACCGGGCCCCGCAGCCACCGCGCCGTCGGCACCATGCGGCCGCCCTGCTCCTGGAGCCCCGAGGGACAGGGGTACCCGCAGACCGGGACGCCGGCGTGGAAAAGGCACCCGGTGAGCGGGCCGGCGGGGGTTGCCTCGGGCGTCTCCAGGGCCAGGGGCGGGGGGGTTCCCCGGGATCCCGGCGGGTCAGTCCTGCGACGGGATCCCGTGGCGGTCGCCAGTTCCCCCTGAGGCAAGCGGGCACAGCCGCCTCGTGCCCGAGACGCCTTGATCCGGGACTCGGTGCCGCCTGCGCGGCCGAACGTCCTGGCGATCTGGGGCCTGGGGCGGGCGGCGGGCGGCGGGATGAGTCTCCGGCGATCGCAGGTTGGCCGCGTCCCCGCAGCGTGCAGGGAGTGAGGACCGGCTGTCGAACGACCCTCCAGTCGAGGGCACCGACTGCCTGAATGTCATGCCTGGAGGCGGCGGGCTGAGACGGAGGTGAAGCCTGGATGGAGCAGCTGCGTGTTAGGCCAGGTTTTGGCCAAACCTGCAGAAAGGGCCGGGCCTGCGGGGCAGTGAAAGGGTGGACGTTCGGCCTTCCACTCCCCCGCCTGCGGCCGGACCAGCAATTGGGCGGCCATTTGCTCTCACCAGCGGCCGAAGAGGGAGCTTGGAGGTGTCCTCACTTCTGATGGGAGGCAAATGCCCGGCAGTGTCTCCTGTAACCTGTAGCCAACTTTGCTGCTTCCACTTGACACATTCTGTTCTTACAGCTCTTGGTTTCCATCCACAGATTTAGACGAGCTTTCCGCGGCAGTTACGTTGTAAAACTAGAGGGTCCGTTGCTGCTGCTTGGCCCCCTGCGGCCCCGCCTGTAGGCCCTGTGCCCTGCTGGGACACTCCAGCCTGCCAGGCACAGTGGCTCCTTGGCTTGTGGCGCCTGCCTCCCACCCTGCCCCTGAAAGCAGTGCCGTGGGCATCCCCGTTTTGCAGAGCTGCCTAGTTCCCAGCTCTTGGGTCTCTGGTTGCTGAAGTGAACTGCTCCACGTGTGCCCTGTGGGCACCTCGCCCCCATCCTGGGCCCGTTTTGGGATGCCATTGAGGGACTTCTATTCACTGTGGAGAAAGGGGCCTCAGACAGCCAGGCAGGGCCGGGCAGGGCCGGAGCACCCAGACCAGCGCGAAGCTGGTGGAAGGAAGAGTTAGCCAGGGCGCCTCGTGGCCCTTCCTCCGTTTCAGCACTGACTGCCTCCGCGGGCCCCCAGCCGCCGTCCTGGCCCTCCTTCCCAGCCACTGGTGGATTAGTGCTTTTGGTTTCCATGTGATTGTGGGTCCCTTCGGAGTCTGTGGCAGAACCGGCGTCCTGGGCTTGGTTTCACTGCCGCCCAGGCTGACATGTCCGGGGTGGGAATGTGCTCGGGATGCAGCCGCTTGGGCTGACTCGGCTTCTTTGCTTGTCGCTCTCCTGCAGGCCCACGCCTCCCCCGGGGCTCAGCTGCGGGCTCCCGGGCCTAGGTGCCCATGACGCTGACTGCTGCCCGGACGCCGCCTCCGCCGCGAGCTAGCGCCGCCGCCCAGGCCCCAATGCCGGTCATGCCCATCCCGCGGCGGGTGCGCTCCTTCCACGGTCCGCACACCACCTGCCTGCACGCGGCCTGCGGGCCTGCACGCACCTCCCGCCTGGCGCGCACCAAGTACAACAACTTCGACGTGTACGTGCGGGCGCGCTGGCTGTACGGCTTCATCCGCTTCCTGCTCTACTTCAGCTGCAGCCTCTTCACGGCCGCACTGTGGGGCGCGCTGGCCGCCCTCTTCTGCCTGCAGTACGTGGGCGTGCGCGTCCTGCTGCGCTTCCAGCTCAAGCTGTCGGTGCTGCTGCTGCTGCTGGGCCGCCGGCGTGTGGACTTCCGCCTGCTCAACGAGCTACTGGTCTACGGCATCCACGTGACCATGCTGCTGGTCGGGGGCCTGGGCTGGTGCTTCATGGTCTTCGTGGACATGTGAGCGCCTTGCGGCCTGCTCCCGGCTTCCTAACTGGGACTGGTGGGGTCGAGGCCTGCGCCCGGGGTCTCTTGTTGGGGTAGGTCAGGGCCCTTGTCCGTCACTCCGTCCCGCAGACAGGTCCGTGCGGGGAGAGGAACAGGCCAAGACTTCTGTGAGGGGCTGCTGTGCCCTCCCGCACCCTGGGTTTCTCCTCTGAGCTTCCTGTGTGCGCCCGGGTGCAGTGTCCCCTTGGCCACCGCCTGTGGTTCCAACCTGCCCTTTTCCAGGCCATGCCGTGTCCTCGTCTGTTCTCCAGGACACCGGCGGGGTGTGCGACCCAGGAGCGCATCTGAAGGGCATCGCCCTGGACGTGCACCCCCCGCCCCTGCCCTAGGGAAGCGTCAGGCCCCATTCATCACACTGCCACCAAGCTGTCCACGCTGCCCTGGGCCGCCCTGGTCCCGGCACAGCCTGGAGGCCCTCCTCTGTCTGGCGCCCTGAGACGGGCGGGGGCCTTGAGTCCCAGGCCAGTCAGCAGGGCCACTGCGGTCTGTGCAGGCGCGGTGGGGCGGGGAGTCACGGCCTCCTGGGAAGCCTGAATGGGGGTTTCTGGGAGGACAACACCATGCCTTTCTGGCTTTGGGGGGTGCTTTTGGCCTCTCTTCCTTGGAGGGAACGTCTGGAATTGAGACTTGGGTGTCTGGAACAGCGGTCGAAGGTTGTGGGAGGCGCTCTGAGTGTGCACCGGAGCCTGTGTTGAAAAGCACCTCTTAGAGCCGAGGCTGTGGTGCAGGGCTGGGTCTCTAAGTCAGGGCGCACCTGCCCTTTTGCTCCTGCCTGTGCAGCTCTTAGTGTGAAAAGCAAAAATGAATGGGGCCAGGAGAGCGCGAAGGGCCAGCGGCCCAAGGGCACTCTGGGTTGCAGGGGACGCGGGGCCAAGGCCCAGCGTCTTGTCCAGACCCCTCACTCTGGCCTTCTGCCTCAGGGGGACAGGGTGGCCGTGTGGTTCGGTGGCACCGGAGGCCTCCTTGGGAAGGGAGAGGGCACTCAGAATAATTGTGCTGGGACAGCAGACAGACTGGACTAGGACATACGGCCGAGGCCGCTTCACCCCAGGTTGCCCTGCACCCCTGGGCGTGGGCGGTGGCCCCTTTGACCCTGCCTGGCCAGGCAGGCCAGCGGCCCCCGGGGGCCCTCTCAGAACTGTTATGTGCCACTGGAAGAAAACCCAAATCAGGGAGAGAAAGCAAAAACCCTTGGCTGTCACCGTGCCCTCAGTTTGTAGTCAGCTCTGTCCGATGATTGTGGGAGGGCTCCTTGGGGAAGGGACGAGCTGTCCGTCCGGGTCACTGGACGGCAGGCGAGGAGCTGACTCGCGGGGACCCCACCACTCAGCGCTGCAGAGAATATTTTGCACTAAATCATGCTGTTTCCTAAAAGCTTTGTTCTGTGTTCGTTAACTCACGTCACTCCGATCCTACGAAACCCGCTGACCTAGGCAGGCGCGTGTCCACGCCATCGGGGTGGCGGGAGGGGTCCGGCGGGCGCCGCCTCGAACGTCTGCGGGGCAGGACTGGGAGTTGACACGCTCGACGTGCAGCTGCTCAGGGGCTCGAGTGCCTGTGAATTCTTTACGAAATGAGCCACCTGCATTAAACTTATTTTTTTAACGCGTTGATGGAGTGATTTCTTAGAGCTCAACCTTTTATTCCTTTTGTTGTTGTTCTTTTAAATATTAACAACCAAAAACAAGTACACTTGGGCACATTTTAAAACAGTCCCCTGCGATGCCGGGACAGGCGAGGGTGGTGGGCTGCTGAGGGGCCCCACGGTGGAAGCCTGCCCCGCGGGTGTGGGGAGCCGTGGGGGCCGAACGCGACTGGCAGACGGGCGTGCGGAGCCCCCAGATAAGGCGGGGGCGCCCACCCGGCCTCGGGGGTGGGAAAGCTGGGCCTGGACCTCGCGCGGGCGGTCGCCTTTAGGGGCAACGCACGTGTGCAGGAGAAGAGGCAGGACACCAGGAAGGACACACCAAGGCTTCCCCGGTGCTGGGCAGGGGCCCGTGTGACGACGGGGTGATGGCCTTCCCAGCGGCCCAATGGCCAGAGAGCGTCCTCAGGAGGGAGATGGGGCTGTTCCCAGCAGCCCGGCCACGCCCTCTGGACTCCTGGGGAGCTGAACGTCTAAAAAGAAACCTTGGCTGGTCTTGGGCCCAGCGTCGGATGGCGGAGTTGGTGACGTCCTCCCAGAGGCCTTGGCCCCCGGAGCAGCAGAGGCGGCAAGCTGAGCTTGGAGGGATGCCCCTTCCCGGGCCTGCCCCCCGCCCCCGTGACCTGGGTGGCCCGTGGCCCGGGGAGCCCCAATGTGGGCGCGGGAGCTCACCCGCGGGAGAGCACGCGCCACGCATGCTTCCCTGGCGGCAGCAGGGCCCTGCCAGCCCTGCCCCAGGTTGGTCTTCGGGTCGCACCGCGGCCTCCCCACCAGCTTTGCCTCGTTTCCAGGGGCTTGCGGTGGCTGCCTGGACGGTTAGCTAGGCCAGCGCTGGCCGGCGTGGGAGCCTCCCGCCCCACAGGGCTCCTGAGCTCGGGCACTGGGCTGCGGGGGCCGAGCGGCTGGGGTCTGAACGGACGTGGCCACACGTGGCCAGAGGTCACCTCACTGGCTGGGACCCAGCAGCTGGATAACGGCATTTTGTGTGCCGCAAGCCACTCTGTCCTGTTGGCTGAGTTAACCTGAGGTCCCCTGTGTGACAGGCACCTTTTTCAAAGATGACACACGGAGGGGCCAGGCAGGGGAGACAGGCTCCGGTCCCCCAGGCAGCGCTCTCGCTACCAGCGAGGGCCTGCCCCGGGCGGGGCGGGGGCCCCGGGGGTGCCGCTGTGGGGGGGGGGGCGGAGGGCCACCCCGCGGCAGCCGCCGGGGCGGACCTGGGCCCCTGCCTGGCAGGGGAGCCACAGGGCGGCTCCCGGGACGTGCGCATCGGATGAAATGCCGTAGCGTAGGTTTCCTTCTCATTATGGAACTGACTGGCATAACCAGAGGCTTCTGGAGGCTTCTCAGGGCTGGGAGCCGAGCCAGGACAAAACCCAAACCAGCCTAAGGAGGCTGAGACACGGGGCAAGTGCAAGGGGCTGGTCTAGGAGACAGGGTTAGCCCTCGCGCCAGGCCTCCAGCCCTGAGCAGCTGTCCCTCCCGACGCCCCCAGGTGGCCCAGGCTGCCACTGAGGGAGAGAAGGGATCAGGAGAGCTGGCGGGTCGGACCCCAGTGACGTGGGTGGGTGGGGAGGGTCCCCCCAACCCCCCTGCCCCCGCACACAGCAGGATGTCCAGGTGGGTGAAGAAGGACTCAAAACCGGGGGAGCGCAGTTGGAGGAGGAAGGAGGGAGTGCCCGTCCCCTGCTCTGGAGTTGGCAGCGCCACCTGGTGGTGACAGCCCCTGGGTGATGGCGGCGTGGCTGGTGGTGGTTTGGGGTTGGGGCCTGGCGGGTGCCGGGTGCCAGGTGGGCAGGTGTGGACCAAGCTCCGCACAGGGACCTCAGGGGCGGACGCCGGCCGCGGGCCGGGAGCAGCCCCCACAGGAGGGTGGGCGGCCTGGCCGTGGGACTCAGAGGGCCACCTGAGGCCCAGAGGCCTGGCCAGAAGCCGGTCACATTCGGGGATGGGTGATCGCTGGGCAGAAGGAGAGCGCCGAGAGGGCAGCGATCTTCAAGATGGGAGGTCACGCCCTGGCTGGTGCGGCTCAGTGGGGTGGGCACCAGCCAGCAAACCAAAGGGTCGCCGGTTCAGATCCCGGTTGGGGCACTTGCCTGGGTTGCAGGCTGGGTCCCCACTTGGGGGCATGCAAGAGGCTGCCAATTGATGTTTCTCTTGCCCATCCAAGTTTCTCTCCCTCTCTTTCTCCCTCCCTTCCTCTTTCTCTGAAAGATAGATAAAGTATTTAAAAGAAAAAAAAGAAAGAAAAAAGAGATGAGAGGTCAGTGGTCAGGGCCAAGGGCAGAGAAGGGAAGGAGAGGTTCTCCCTGAACAGAGGTCAGAGGCGCCGAGTGGGGGGCTTCCTGCGGGCAGGTGCGGGGTGCATTTGGCAGAAAGACCCAGGCCAGGCCATGGAGCAGAGCAGATGGGGGCGGTGGGGAGAAGGGGAGCCACAGGCTTGTTTGGGGAAGTCTGAGCATTGTCCGGGCTCTGGGCAGGGGTGGCCGTCCCTGCATCCCCCCACTGCCCTGCCCCCCGGGGGTGGCAGCTGGCAAAATAGCCTGGGGGAGGGGACACCGCCCCCGCCCACCTGGGAGGATGGCCCAGACTGGAGTGTGACCCCGGTGTTCCTGCAGAGGACAGGGCCGCCCCCTGGCCCGCCTACGGGTATTGATGTTCCCTGACCTTGAGAGGTCCCTGTGGCTTCCAGCGGGATCGGCCAAGGGGGAGCGGGTGGCAGGGCGCTGTGCTGACTCGGCACTTTCCGGGCGGGGAGCGCGCCGCCTTCCATCCGCAGAGGCCTCCCTCTGTGTCTCCGTGGCGGTGGCGTCTGAAAGGGCACCCCCCCCCCCGCCCGTGCTTGCCCCCAGCCCTCCAGGATAGCGCTCCCCCTGCGGGCCTAGGGGCTGGCCGTGCACCAGGCTGGGGCAGGGGCTGCTGTCTGGACCCCTGGCATGCCTCTGGACAGCTCCCCAAGGGGAGCCCGCCGCACAGCATCCCTGCCTGGGAGGGGACAGGGACATGCAGGGACATACGGTGCCGCTGATTCAGCGGCTCCCGGCCGCGCCCCTCCCCCTGCTCCCGCCGGGCAGCCTGCCCGGGCACACTGGCAGCTGTGTCACCGGGGCCTCTGGCAGGCCGCTGTGGCTCTCGGTGTGTGGCCCGCACCGAGCCTGCGGGGGGGGGGGGCAGGCCAATGCTGGGGGCGGACTGTAGGGCCTGCCGTGGAAGTGGCCCCCCCGGGAGGCCACATGGGTCCCTGGGAAGAAAGTGTGTCCTACGCCAAGAGATGGCCACGTGCCCCACCCCTGCCAGGGCCCCCTGCCTCGTCTCCTAGAAGTCCAGGACCTGGGCAGAGCTCTTCTACCCCTGGCCCACCCGACCCTGGTCACTTGCTACCCAGCAGGGACAGGCCGAAAGGGGCAGGGACTAGCCAGCTGATGCGAGCCTGCAGGCCAGAGCGGGGCGGAGCGTGAGCCAGAACCCCGGGTCTGCCGCTCCCTGCTGGGGGAAGCTCACCGTGACAGGCAGCCCAGCGGACACGGCAGGCGGGGGCTGGGGCCCTTCCCCGGACCCTGCACACCCAGGCCTTGGCGGTGGGGCAGATGCCTGGAGAACGGTGCGGGGCAGAGCGGGCCGGGGCCCAGGAGGGTGGGGCTCCGGGCCATGGGCACCCTGCCTGACAGTTTGTCCGTGCTCTCCTGGAGGCTGTCAGGCAGGGGCCCTGACAGCGCGGGTGGTCTGCTGTGTCCAGAGCCATGTTCCCACCAGCTGCTCGCTGGCCGCATGCCTTCCGTGTGGACAGCACCCTGTTCTGCTTTCTTGGAATATTAACGACTAGTCCTGGCCCAGCTGCCATGTGAACGTTTACACAGGAATCAATCAGTCCAGCCTGGCAATGATGTCACAGGGTCGGGAGCAGCCAGGTAGCCTTTGGAGGAGGGGTGTCCCCGGTGCCGTGGGGGGCTGGGCTCTGGACCTGGTGGAGCAGGTAACACCACCTGGCAGCACAAAGGTGGGGGTGGGCTGCAGGCCCCTCCCTCCAGGGCTTTCCCACAAAGGGGACCACCTACTCACGCAGGCAGGGCACGGTGGCCCCCGCCCTCACTGGGGTCAGGGGATGAGGAGACGGACACCAGGCACAGCCAGGCGTGCGGGGTGGCATGGCCCATCCTCCTGGGGAGCCCCCACATACAACCTGGGCTTCAGTCGCTGTCCATCCCTTGCTCCCATGCCCCCACTGGTAGGGACGTTCTTGCCACTCCGACCACCCGATGCTTCAGAGGCTGCAGCTGACAGAGCGTGTGGACTTCAGCTCCTTCTAGCCGCACCCGCAGTTGCCCTCGCCCCTTGCCGCGTGGCGGCCTTCGCTTCCTGCACTGGACCCCTCTCTGGCCCTGGACCCCGGTGGCACCTGCTCCCGCGTGTCCCAGAAGACCCCGGGTTGGGGGCTCCTCCAGGCCCGGGCTGCTGCCCATGGGCCTCCCGAGCTCTGTGCTTTTCCGATCAAAGGGGGGCCCTGGCCAATAGCTCCGTCCATTAAAGCATCCTCCCGATGTGCCAAAGTTGTGGGTACGATCCCCAGCCAGGGCACATCTGAGAACCAGCCAGCGCACGCGTGGGAAAGTGGAGCAACAAATAAACCTGCTGTTTCTCTCTCTCCAAGATCAATGGAAAAAGAAAAAAAAGAAAGACCCCAGGGGGCCGCTACGCCCTGCCGCTGCCCAGGGCGGAGTCAGCCCTCCAGCGACGTGAAGCGGGGTACGAGGTGCGCATTTCCTTATTCATGACAGCCCCGTGACAGACATGATGGTGAAATGAATTATTTGTATGTTTTCACATTGTCCTGCGATAACCCATTTTCCCGGCCGCCTCCAAGTGTAGAAGGAACCTCTTCCTCTGTGACGTCACATGGAGCTGACTCAGCCCAAGCTCCTGCCCGCCCGTGTGCTGCC